GATTTTTTGCTATAGGGCCCGTGTGCTTGCCAGAGACAGAGACAGAACGTGAGAAATTATCCTCCCTCCCAGGGGCAATAGCCATGCTGCAATCCCTTCTCCATTCTCCTCTCGGGACTTTGGGCATGCACGCACATGTGCCTGGTCTGAGTTTCAAGTTGCCGGGTCCGGGACTTGAACTGCAGCTGGCCATATGGGAGTCCAGTGCCCCAATCATCACACCACCTGCTGGTCCCTCTATAGCAAATTTATGAAAAGAAAAAAAGAGCATCGCGGATTCCAAACTCATGGGAAAAAAACCCTCTTTGTAGGACAGCTCCTGGTGGACCTCGACATTATCTTTTTCTCTTCTAAAATTTCTATTTATTTATCTCTCCCATGAAAGAGGGTGAGAAAGACAATGCTCTTGATTGGATCTATTTTTTTTAAAGAGATTTTTGCCATGGGGTGCGTGCACTCTCCAGAGACACAGAAAGTGAGAAATCACCCCCCAGGGGAATGGCCACGCCGCAATCCCTTCTCCTCCATTCTCCTCTCGGGATTTTGGGCACATGTGCCCGGCGTGAGTTTTAAGCCACTGGGTCCAGGACTGGAACTCTGATTGACTACGTGGCAGTCCAGCCACGTAACTATTATGCCATCTGTTAGTCACTGCGGTGTGATTTTCAAGCCACTGGGTCTGGGCCTCAAACCATGGTCAGCCATGTGGGAGTCCAGTGACATAACAGCTAAGCCACCTGCCGGCCTCTCGACATTATCTTTAAGGAAGCCCTAAATGTTCCCCTTTCTCTGCCTACAAAGAACGAGCCAGGAAAATGCCTAGGATGGTGCCCCACCTTTGGGAACTTACCGGGGGACCCAAATGAGGTCTTTGACGGCGAGGATCTTCACCGCCTGCAGGTGCCGGCTGAAGGCCTCGCCGTCCAGGGGAGTCAGGTCGTGCTCGGACCTGTCGGAGGCGGCCCCGGGTTCGTGCAGCCTGTCTGAGTCCTCGCGGTCGGTGGAGAAAGGCACGCTGGACGAGCTGGCCGGGGAGCTGGGCAGGCTCGCGGGGGCCCCGGTCACGTGGTGTGGCGGGGACGAAGAGTAGGAGGACATGGAGCAGTAGTCGGTCAGAGAGTCCTGGTGGGACAGGATCTGGGTGCCCAGCTCCTTGCTGTACATAATGCTGACGTCCGCGATGGAGTCCCCCTCGGGCTCCTTCGGGCTGGCTGCGTGGCTGTCCGGGGGTCCCAGGCCTGGGAGGCGCACGGGAAAGGTGTCCCTGAGGGGGCTGGGGTCCCCGCAGAAGTACCGGGCGCACAGCTGGTAGGTGGCCGAGTGGTACATGACCAAGGAGTTGGCCCTGTCGTCCAGGCACCAGACGACCTCGTCCCCGCTGCACTCCGAGCTGCACACGATCGACGTGACCACCGACGGGGCCGAGAAGGGCTCCAGGCGCCTGCGGATGTCCAGGGCTACGCAGTCGATGACCAGGAGGCCCGGCCCGTTGCTGTACCAGACCTCAGACCCGCTGTTGACCACCTCCATGGCTTTCACCGGGAAGGGGTTCTGCCGCGGGTCTTCATCTGGGATGCCGAACTTGGCCCTGTTGGCCGTGTGGGAGCACAGGTAGGAGCAGATGTTGCTCGGGGCACCTCGCACCACGGGAAACACGGCCACCAGCCCGTCGGCCAGGCCCGCCAGCACCAGGTAGGAGTTCTGCGGGGAGGGGACAAGGATGAGTGATCGCACATGTTCCGGGGTCAAAACTCAGCTCCAGGGGGAACCAGCGGGCACGTGCTTCCTGTCAACACAGCCCCGGGAGCAAAGGCTTTGTTTATTTATTTATTTATCTATTTATTTTAGAGAAATATTCATTTTATTTATTTATTTATTTATTTGGAGAGGTTTTTACCATAGTGCGCATGCGCTCGCCAGACAGAGAGACAGAAAGCGAGAAATCACCCCCCAGGAGGATGGCCACGCCGCAATCCCTTTTCCTCCATTCTCCTCTCGGGATCTTGGGCACACACGCACATGCGCCCAGCGTGAGTTTAAGCCACCAGGTCTGGGACTCTGCGGTCGATGGGAGTCCAGCGACATAGCCATTATGCTAACTGCTGGTCCCAAAGTATTCATTTTAATTTTATTATTATAATTCATTTTAAATGTGTTATAGGGCAGGGAGAGGGAGTTCCAGGTCTGGGACTCGAACCGTGGTCAGCCATGTGGGATTCCAGCACCTTAACCACCATGCCACCTGCTGGCCCCTGGAAGCAAAGCTCTTAAAGGCCAGGGCTAGGCCAGCAGGTGGGATAGTAGCTGCGATTTGAGTCCCAGACCTGGCGGCATAAAATTACGACAGGTGCGAGTCTTGTGTATCCAAAATCCCAGGAGGAAAACGGAAGAGAAGGGATTGTGGCATGGCCATCTCCCCAGGGAGGTGATTTCTCACTTTCCCTCTCCCTGTTTCTCTCTGGTGAGTGTATACACCATATGCCAAAAAACCTAAAACAATAATAATAATAATAATAATAATAAAGGCCACGACCAGAGCTCCTGGGCCAGCTCTGGGCCACCAAAGAGGTGTCGCCCAAGCCAGGCAGAGCCAACCCAGCCCTCTGCTGGAAGGGGAGCTCGTGGGTGCAGAGAAGCAGAGTTTGCGGCACCCAGACCACACAGCAGAAAGCTGCCTTCTCCCTGGATCCACTGAGGCCTCCCTCAGAGGCTGGACACAGAGCCTTCCCTCCTATGACGCTGCTGGCTATGGGGACAACAGCCATGGCATCGCGGGGGGTGCTCACTGGCTCCTTGAGTGAGGGGGGCTGGCTCCCATGCCCACCAGGTCTCTTGGCACTGACCTGGTCCAGGGAGGGCCAAGTCTTATTTTATTTTATTTATTTTTTAAAAAATTTTATTTAACTTTATTTATTTGTGTGTTTGTTTATTTTTCATTTGACCAGAGAGGGACAAAGCAAGAGAGAGAGAAAGTAAGAAAGCAAGCCGCCAGGTCCAGGACTCGAACTGCAGCTGGCCATATGGCAATCCAGCATCCTTAACCACCACACCACCTGCCGGCCCCCCTTTTTTTTTTAAAGCGATTATAGGGCGCATGCACTTGCCAGAGAGACAGAGACAGAGAGACAAAGAGTGTGAAATCACTCCCCAGGGGCTGGGCTGCAATCCCTCGGGGTTTGGGGCACACATACACACGTGCTTGGTTTTAAGCCACTGGGTCAGGGACTCGAACCGTAGTTGCACGTGTGGGAGTCCAGTGATGCAACATTACGCCATCTGCTGGTCTCAAATCTTATTAGTGTCTGTGGCCCTATCATGCCACATGGCTCTCCATTTGCTGAACTAATTCTTTAAGATTTCTCTGACAACTCAACCTTCTGGTGGAGGGGCGTTTTTTTAAAAATTATTTTATTTAATTTTATTGATTCGTTCATTTATTTTCATTTGATGAGAGAGAGAGAGAGAGAAAGACAAAGTGAGAAAGCAAGATGCCAGGCCCGGGGCTTGAACCATGATCTGCCATGTGGGAGTGTCCAGCGCCATAACCACCACGCCACCTGCTGGTCCCCGTGGAGGGCGTTTTGCCCACACAGTGCCCACATTCCCTGCTTCTGATACCGACTACGAAATGCCTGGGGTGTGGCTGACATTGAGGGGACCTACCCCACAATAAAATAGAGTTTCTATTTTTAAAATTTTTCCAAACTTGCAGGAGGCAGCAGGTGGCGTGGTGTGGTTAAAGGTGCTGGACTCCCACATGGCTGATCATGGTTCAAGGCCTGCTTTCTCATTTTCCTTTTCTGCCTTGTCTCTTTCTGGTCAAATGAAAACAATAATAGGGACCAGCAGATGGCATAATGGTTATGTCGCTGGACTCCCAGGTAGTCGACCGTGGTTCGAGTCCTGGACCCAGAGACTTAAAACTCACACTGGGTGCATATGTGTGTGTGTGTGTGTGTGTGTGTGCCCCAAATCCTGAGAGAAGAATGGAAAAGAAGGGATTGTGGTGTGGCCATTCCCCCCCTCACTTTCTGTCTCTGTCTCTTTATGTCCTTGCCATGTAGCAAAAATCTCTCTCAAAATTTTTTTGTTACAATGTGCATGCGCTTGGCAGAGAGACAGAGAGAAGGAAAGCGAGAAGCACCCCAGAAGGGATGGCCACACCGCAATCCCTTCTCCACGCTCCTCTTGGGATTTGGGGCAGGCACGCACAGGCACCTGGGGTGTTTCTCAAACCACCGGGGCTAGGACTTGAACAAGGCAGTCGGCCATGTTGGATCCAGACGCCTTAACCACTAGGCCGCCTGCTGGCCGAAGGAGGAGGTTTTCTGCAGCCCCCGGAGGTCACTGGGCGGAGCGCAAAGGTGCAGGGAGTCCATGCTGAATGTGGGACCCCTCCCCGGGCCTCCCAGGGCATCTTTTAGGGCACAGCTGGGGACAGAGAGCAGTTCGCAGCCCAGGTCCCTCTGCCGAGTCCCAGCTGGGGTGGAGCAGGGGCAGTCCGTGAATCAGGACAGGGCAGGGAACGGGCCTCGTGCCAGCCAGATGAGAGCAGAAAGCTTCCTGGTTGGGGTTTCGGGTAACTTGGAGGCTGGGCTGTCGGAGTTAACGGCCCCACATCAGGGGCCAGAGAGTCTGCCGAAATCCACCTTCTGGATTTTAAGGAAAAGAAGCGGCAGAGGCCCGATGCGCAACGCCTGTCTCTGGAGTGTGCGCTGGGGCCCTGGCCAGGGCGGTGCTCGCCACGTCGCGGCTGGGCGTGAGCCTGTGCGCGTGTGAGAATGCAGGGTCCGCTCTGCGTGCCCGGCAGGGTGGCCTCCGAGGGGGCAGTGCCCTGGGCGGGAGGCTTTGCACAGAGCTGGCTTTATTCCCCCTGGCTGGGCGGGAGGTGCAGCCCTGACTTGGGGGCTCTAGCCCAGGATGGCCTTCAATGACACCTTGTTGTCGGGGTCTCCTGCGCTCCAGTATGGGCCGGGCCCTGAGCTGCCAGGCCCTGTCCCTGAAAGCACGGTCGTAAATGACTCTTAGGTTCATTTCATACCTGTTTTTTTTTTTTAAGAAATGAAACTGGAGAAGGGAGAAGAGAGAGCTCGTATATTTCCAAACTGTCAGAAAGTACTCATAACACTCACATTTACCAAGGGCACAGGCCCCAGCTCTGCGTGTGCTAGGCCCAGAGAGGCATCTCCCATGCCTGTTTTCTTTTTCTTTTTGGAGAGGTTTTTGCTATAGGGCGCGTACGCTCGCCAGACAGACAGAGAGAGACAGAGAGACAGAAAGTGAGAAATCACCCCCCAGGGGGGATGGTCACGCCGCAATCCCTTCTCCTCCATTCTCCTCTCGGGATCTTGGGCACGCACGCACACGCGCCCGCCTGGCACGAGTTAAGCCACCGGGTCCGGGACTCGAACCACGGACGACTACATGGGAGTCCAGCGACATAGCCATTATGCTAACTGCTGGTCCCCCCACCTCACCTTTTTAATAACAGGCACGGCCAAGAAGCAGGTGACGATAGCTGGGGTGTCCAACGCCTGCCGAGGGGCATTTAAAGGACACATGCCCTTCAGGCTGTAGATATAAATCTTCTGGTCCTGTAAAGACAGATAAGCCCCAGAGACAGTGTTAGAAAGGGTCTGGCGTCCCCTATAGGGGTGTGTTGGTCTTGGGGATCCCCCATGAGCCTGGAAGAGAACGGCAAGTGGAGGCTTTCTGGTTGGTTGGTTTTAGATTTTTGGGATTTTTTTTTTTTTTTTGTAGAAACTTGGAAAAGTGCATCGTAATTTCTAGAAGAGTAAGATCACCCATAATCCACTGCCCCAAGAAAACCATGATGGGGATGTGGGCTGCGGCCTCACAGACATTTCCTAGGGGTATTTATTTATTTTTGGAGAGGTTTTTGCTACAGGGTGCGTGCGCTTGCCAGAGAGACAGAGAGATAGAAAGCGAGAAATCACCCCCCAGGGGGGATGGTCACACCGCAATCCCTTCTCCTCCATTCTCCTCTCGGGATCTTGGGCACGCACGCACACGCGCCCAGTGTGAGTTTAAGCCACCGGGTCCGGGACTTGAACTGCGGTCAGCTACATGGGAGTCCAGTGACACAGCCATTACGCTAACTGCTGGTCTCTTTCCTCTCTCTTGATAAGACACTTAAGAATGACTTGGGGGTATCAAAATTTCACGGTGGTCAGATGTTCAGTCTGTCTCCAAGTTTTCACTACAATGAATTATATTGGGATTAATTTGTTTGTTCGTTTTAGGTTTTTGTTATAGGGCGCATGCACTCTCCAGAGAGAGACAGACAGAAAGCGAGAGAGATAGAGAGACAGAAAGTGAGAAATCACCCCCCCAGGGGGGATAGCCATGCCACAATCTCTTCTCCTTCATTCTCCTCTTGGGATCTTGGGCATGCACTCATATGCACCTGGCATGATTTTCAAGCCACCAGTTCTGGGACTTGAACCACAGTTGGCCATGTGGGAGTTCAGTGTCTTAACCATCAACCCCCCTGCTGGTCCCCTGGGGTGAATATTCCCATATGTATGTGTATGTGAGAGACTTGTTTATTTCCTCTGAATAAATGATTAACACCAAAATGATTGAGGCTTACAAGGTAGGAGTATTTTGGATATTTGTTGAAACTGTACTTCCAATTTGCCCTCTGGAGCTTGTACCACTTAGACCCCCTACTTGGTCTTTTTTCTTTGTTTGTTTGTTTGGTTAGGATTAAATTATTATTATTGCAAATTTGTATAGGGCACATGTGCTTACTGGAGAGAGATAGGGAGAGAGAGAGGGAAAGTGAGAAAGCAAGCTGCCAGGTCTGGGACTCGAACTGCGGTCGACCATGTGGGAGTCCAGTGCCTCAACCATCACACCACCTGCTGGCCACGTGAGCTTGAGAACTGAATGGGAGGTGGTCTGGAGGCAGTGAGTCCAGAAGGGACTGTTCCTGGTGGTGCCAGGTGGGGAGGGGGCAGGTCCTGGGAAGAACAGCCTCGTCAGCCCTGCCGGGACAGATCCGGTCATAAAGGAGCCTTCAGTGGAGGCTCCATTGGAGTCTCTGGAGCCAGTGTGTTGGACATCACTGTGGGTTTCTCAGAAGATAGCTCCTGGGACCAGCAGTTGGCATAGCAGTTATGTTGCTGGACTTCCACTTGGCTGAGCACAGTTCAAGTCCTGGACTCGGTGGCTTGAAAATCATGCTGGGCCTGTGTGTGTGTGTGTGCCCAAGATCCCGAGAGGAGAATGGAGGAGAAGAGATTGTGGCGTGGCCACTCCCCTTAGGGGGTGATTTCTCGCTTTCCCCTCTCCCTATCTCTGTCTCTCTGTCTCTCCAGCATATGCACTAAGACAAAAACCTCTTTAAAAAAATTAAAAAGGATGGGGCCGGCAGATGGTGTGGTGATTAAGGTGCTGGACTCCCACATAGCCGGCTGCAGTTCAAGTCTCAGACCTGGTGACTTGCTTTCTCACCTTCCTCTCTCTCTCTCTCTCTCTCTCTCTCTCTCTCTGTGTCTCTCCAGTCAAAACTGAAAAATGATCATAATAAATAAAATGAAATATTTCGAAAAAAAATAAAAATGGCAAATCCTTGGGCCTTTGGCTGACTTCCCTGATAGAAAGACCTTCCATGCTGAGTAGATTTGCTGTGTAGACCCAGTGAGGTTAGAAAAACCCGGGCACCTCGCCAAGCTCCTGCTGAGAATCACCCCTGCTATTGAGCTTCCTGAATTCGGGTGACAAGCTCGCGGCGGGCACGGTGGGGCTGCCCTGGCGCCTGGGTCAGCAGTGTGCTAGGGGCGCAGGGGGATGAGGGAGGGTCGTCTGAAAATCAAGTGGACCTGGACACCCCACAGCTTTATAATCTGGCCGGCCCTCCCCGGGGACAGTGACCCAGTGGAGGCCCCTTGCTAAGGGGCTCTGGGTGCGTGGTTACCTCGGTGGCCGTCCACAGGGAGCTCTGGACCTTGAGCTGACAGCTGAGCTTCATTCCCGCACAGTTAATTCTCTGAGCTTCCAGAAGGCCCTTCTCGGTGTTCACCACCGTGTAGTTCCTGTGGTCAGAACAGCCGTGCCATTAGATCCCGGTGGCCAGGGCCGCCTCCTGTCCCCGGCCTGGCTGGACAGTCTCAGAGGAGGACATCAGCGTGGGCCTGATTTATCCTGGAGCCCCGGCTCACGGTCTGCCCTGGGTGAGGCATGCCTGGCCTCATCACAGAGGTCTCTGGACGTGAATCGAGGGCCTTCTCCAAGGGGGATTCTGGGGGAATCATGGACCTACAGGGAAGTGCCTGAACATCACAGGCAGAGAATGGATGTCCCCATTGGGGACAAGGCTCTCCTTTTGGGGACCTCAGAGGGCTGACACAGTTACCACCAAGCATGAAGGAGAGGCGCACCCAAGAACACACACCGCCCTCCCACTGGCCATGTCCTGCCCACCCTAATATCAAGAGGAGCCCCTATGGGTGGGCCAGCTAGTGGTGTGGTGGTCAAGGCAGCTGGATCCCACATGGATGAATACATAGTTCGAATCCTGGACCCAGCAGCTTGGGTACATATGCATGAGTGTCCAAGATCCCGAGAGGAGAATGGGAGAGAAGGGATTGTGGCATGGCCATCTCCCCTGGGGGGTGATTTCTCACTTTCTTTCTCTCTGTCTCTCTCTCCATTGTCTCTCTCTCCAGTGAGTATACATACCCATAACAAAATTTAAAAAAAAAAAAAGAGAGAGAGAGAGAGAAGTCCCTCAAGGTGGAGTACACAAAGCCAGGCCTAACTCTGGGATGGCAAAGTCCAGACTAGACTACAGGGAGGCCTCAAAATTGGCTCCCCAGGGAACTAACAGATGGAGTAATGGTTATGTCGTTGGGCTCCCATGTAGTCAACCGTGGTTCAAATCCTGGACCCAATGGCTTGAAACCCACGCTGGGTGCGTGTGCGTGCGTGCCTAAGATCCTGAGAGGAGAATGGAGGAGAAGGGATTGCGTTGTGGCCATCCCCCCTGGGGGGTGATTTCTCACTTTCTGTCTGTCTCTCTGGCGAGTGCACGCGCCCTATAGCAAAAACCTATACGAAAAAAAAAAATATTGGCTCCCCAGGGAACTAACAGATGGTGTAATGGTTATGTCGTTGGGCTCCCATGTAGTCAACCGTGGTTCAAATCCTGGACCCAATGGCTTGAAACCCACGCTGGGTGCGTGTGCGTGCGTGCCCAAGATCCCGAGAGGAGAACGGAGGAGAAGGGATTGCAGCATGGCTATCCCCCCTGGGGGGTGATTTCTCGTTTTCTGTCTCTGTCTTTGTCTCTCTGGTGGGCACATGTGCCCTATAGCAAAAACCTCTCCGTTTTGAAAAAAAAAAAAAAAAGATCTCTCCAGCATAAGTACACAGAGAACTCACAACTTGTCATTTTAGAGAGTCGGTCCTCAGCACACCCCTCCTGTCCTCAGTGGGGGCTCAGCTGCCCAGCGTGCGGAAGAGGGGACTGAAGCTGGGGGGGGGCAGCTGTACCCCAGATCACGCGGGTCCTTTTCCCAAACTAAGAGAGTAAGTTAAGCGAGGGGACAGAGTTCGCAATATACGATTTTTCCTGCCGACAAGTGTAAGACGCCTTCCCTGTCATTGATGGTTGTGTGTTTCAAGCTGATAAAAATGGGTGAGAAAACAGCAAGCAAACTGTTTTTCAATGTTCTGTTTGTCCATCTTAAAAAAAAAAGTCTATTTATTTATTTATTTTTGGAAGGTTTTTTGCTACAGGGCGCGTGTGCTCGCCAGAAAGACAGAGAGAGACAGAGAGACAGAAAGCGAGAAATCACCCCCCAGGGGGGATGGCCACGCCGCAATCCCTTCTCCTCCATACTCCTCTCGGGATCTTGGGCACGCACGCACACGCGCCCGGGGTGAGTTTAAGCCACCGGGTCCGGGACTCAAACCATAAAGTCAGCTATGTGGGATCTAGCTGCTAAACCTCTATGCCATCTGCTGACCCTAGCTTCCATTTTAAAGGGAAGCCCTTCACTTGTGGGTGCCATTGACAGGTACCCACAATATTCCTGGTTGATATCTTGCATTTATTTAATTCTCTATTTTTTTTTCAGAGAGATTTTTGCTATAGGGTGCATGAGCTCACTGGAGAGACAGAGAGACAGAAAGCGAGAAATCAGGGTGAGTTTAAGCCACCGGGTCCAGGACTCGAACAGCCGTCAACTGTGTGTGAGTCCAGTGACGTAACCATTACGCTATCCACTGGTCCCTCTTTTGCTTATTGTAACCACATATGGACATGCATGTCTGTCCAATGGAATGTCCCCTCTCCCCATCTCCCACCCTGCTCTCTCTGGAGTGGACTCTAACCAGACTCTGGTCCCCACATCAACCAAACCCCCTCGCTGTGGCCACTGCAGGCTCTCCGTTCCCATGTTTCATGGTGGCCTCCCACCCGGAACACCAGCAGGGCAGGGCAGGCGTCAGAAGGTTACCTGGATTCTTCTTTGCCATCCCAAAACACCACGGTGTACTCCTGGCCCTGGGACGAGAAGAAGGTCGTCTGCTTCCCGCAGGGGAGCAGGTACATGAAGGTGGCGAAGGTCGGGTCCTTCATCTGGCTGACCACCGACAGGGCCAGCGGTCGCTGTGGGACAGAGGCCACCGAGCCATGAGCAAGGTCACTGACAGCCACCCCGGTACCCATGCACCGCAGATTGACTGGCCCAACCAGGGAGGATGGGGGAGTGTGGTCATTCAGGGCCGCGTCCAAATGAGAGGCTAGAAGGGCTTCAGAGGCTGGAAGGGAAGCCCCCAGGCATCGAACTCACCTGACCCCCAAGTATTACACCTCATACCCAAGGGCATGTGCTCTCCCAGGGCCCTGTTTACTTCCTAGCACATTAAATTAACTTTGTCTCAGGGGGCCAGCAGGTGGCGTGGTGGTTAAGGGTGTTGTACTCCCACATAGCCAACCATGGTTCGAGTCCCGGACCTGGCGGCTTGCTTTCTCACTCTCTCTCTTCCTCTCACTCCGTCCCTCTCAGGTCAAATTAAAATAAATAAAGTTTATAAAAATTATTTTTGTCTCAGATTTGGTAAGTAAGTTCTTTTCTTTCTTTTTAAGAATTATTTAACTTAATTAATTTATTTATTTAAATTTGACCAGAGAGAGGGAGAGAGAGAGAAAGAAAGTGAGAAAGTGAGCTGCCAGGTCCAGGACTCGAACTGCGGTCAGCCATGTGGAAGTCCAACGCCCTTAAACACCACGCCACCTGCTGGCTCCTCTTTTTTTCTTTTTTAAGAGATTTTTGCTATAGAGTGCGTGTACTTTCCAGACCGAAAGAGAAAAAACACCTACGAGTACCCCCTAGAGGAGGCTGTCATGCCGTTATCCCTTCTCCTCCATTCTCCTCTTGGGATTTTGGGCACGCACGCACACGCACCCAGAGTGAGTTTGAAGATGCTGGGTCCGGGACTCGAACCTCAGTCAACTAACTACCTGTGATTTTATTACACCATTTGTTGGTCCCAGGATAGATTTATTTATTTATTTATTTGGATGATGAAATAATAACAAGGTTTGGGCAGGACAAGAAAGTGCATTTTTCCTGAGATCTCTCTCTGTCTCTCTCTCTGTCTCTCTCTCTCACACACACACACACACACACACACACACACACAGGAAATGAGACTGCAGGTGTCAGGTGCAGTAAACACCTCTCTCCAGAAGAGGTGGGCCGGGCAGGGACATCCCAATCTGGTTAGTGAAGGGTGGGTGAGCTGCCATGTGCACACTCCAGAGACCCACAGCCTTGCTGCAGTGCAGGGTCCGCCCCCAGCCTCCGTCCCGTACGGTCGTACCTTCTCGGGCTTGGTGTCCCAGCACTCTGTCATAAGCGCCTGCAGTCGGTGGAACTGCACTTCCTCCGGCTGGCCCAGCACGGGGCGGATGCCCTTGGACAGCTTCTTGGCAATCTGGAGCTGGTGGTGGCCCAGGGCAGGACGCTGTCCCGACAGCAACTCGTACAGTACCATTCCGTAGGAGAACATATCTACCTGGGCGGGGAGGGACGCCCAGTCAGGCCCTGCCTTGTTTTTTTTTTTTTCCCCCAGTCGGGCCCTGCCTTTTTTTTTTTTTTTTTTTTTTTTTGGAGAGGTTTTGCTATAGGGTACGTGCACTCGCCAGAAAGACAGAGACAGACAGAGAGACAGAAAGCGAGAAATCACCCCCCAGGGGGGATGGTCACACCGCAATCCCTTCTCCTCCGTTCTCCTCTCGGGATCTTGGGCACTCAAGCACACGCGCCCGGCGTGAGTTTTAAGCCACCAGGTCCAGGACGCGAACTGCGGTCGACTACATGGGAGTCCAGCGACATAGCCATTATGCCAACTGCTGGTCCCTGACTCTTTTTTTAAAAGAGATTTTTGCTATAAGGCACGTGTACTCGCTGGAGAGACAGAGAGACAGAAAGCGAGAAATCACTCCTGGAGGGGATGGCCACACCACAATCCCTTCTCCTCTCACACCCGGCATGAGTTTTAAAGCGCTGGGTCCAGGATACGAACCGTAGACAACTACATGGGAGCCCAGTGCTTTAACCACTGCGCCACCTGCTGGCCCACTGTTTTGGACTCTTTGTCTACCGTGTTCAGCCCTCACAATGTCTTCGAACCAAGGTTTGAGCATCCCAAAGCTGAGAAGGCCATCTTGGCATGAACAGACAGACACAGCCCCCTGAGCCCCTCTGGTTCATGGCAGAGCCTGAAGGGCATGGCGGGACCAGAGCGGGAGCTGTGCTGGGTCAGCTGAGGGGACCACACTGAGCCCAAAGCTACAGTGGCCATAAGGACTGCCCGCTGGCTCAGGCTGGGACCTGGGCTTATGTACTGGAGGGCTGGGCCAGGGCGTGGCCGAGAAGGGGAAGGGGCGTGGCCAGGTGCAGGGGAGTGGTCTGACCTGGGCGTGGTTGGGTGTTGGGCTGGGGCGTGGCCAGGGAGGGGTGTGGCCTGGGTGTGGGGCGTGCCCGAGAAAGGGGGCGTGGTCGAGTCTGGGCGTGGCCGAGGGCTGGGCAGGTACCTTCTCATCATACACGATGCGGGGCCTGATCTCAGGGGCCTGGTAACCGGGAGTGCCTTCCACTCCCAGCGCGCCCTCGTGGAATGACTGTCTCGAGATCCCGTAGTCGGACAGCTTGATGTTGACGGGCTCTTTGACATCCAGGGACCACACCAGAATGTTGTCGGACTTCAGGTCGCAGAAGATGATGTTCTTCTTGTGTAGGTAGGCCAGGCCCGAGGCAATCTGGTAGGCTATTTTTTGGGTAAGCATGTGTCCCAGGGGCATAAAGGAAGAATCTTGCAAGGAAAAAAAAAAAAGCAAATTGTCATTACAGCCACGGTCTTCCCTTCTAGCTCCCCAAACACTTGATAATCTTTTATAATTTGGCTTTTTGGAGAGATTTTTGCTAGAGGTTGCATGCGCTTGCTGGAGAGACAGAGAAATAGAAAGTGAGAACTTATCCCCAGGGAGTATGGCAACACTGCAATCCCTTTTCCTCCATTCTTCTCTCATCTTGGGCATGCACACATATGGACCCGGTGTGAGTTTCAAGCTGCCAGGTCCGGGACTTGAATCACAGTCCACCATGTGGGAGTCCAGCGCCTTAACCACTCCACCACCTGCTGGCCCTGATAGTCTACTGATAAGTCCTCCTCTTTGTCTGAGTTTGAGGCCAGAGGGAACAGAAAATGAAATAAAACTGGGACTAGCAGTTAGCGTAATGGCTATGTCGCTGGACTCCCATGTAGGAGACCGCGGTTCGCGTCCCGGACCTGGTGGCTTAAAACTCATGCCAGGTGCATGTGCATGCGTGCGCAAGATCCTGTGAGGAGAACGGAGGAGTAGGGATTGCAGTGTGGCCATTCCCCTGGGGGGTGATTTCTCGCTTTCTGTCTCTGTCTGTCTGTTTGGCGCGCACACACACCCTATAGCAAAAACCTCTCCAAAAAAAAGAAAGAATGAAAGGAAAAGAAAGAACAGAGGCCTAAGTTCTCCCACCTTCACTTTTTAAAATGCAAATTCCAGAAGCCCACAAATTATCACACAAAGGCCACAAAGTATCATGGGATCAAAATCGTGTTGGTGATTTCTTACTTTCCCTCTCTCTGTTTCTCTCATAGTGCACACGCCCTATGGCAAAAGCCTAAAAATATATAAATCAGGTCTAATGCAACTGGCCCCAGCGTCTCCGAGTCTTACCCATTGCATATGTGTGGGGTGCTCTGGTGAAAAGAATGATTTGGACGTTTTAAATCATCAGTTGTTGCCTCCTGGACCCTCCTATGGATGCACAATGCCCTCACAGGGAGGACTATTATGTTCCTTTTATAGACAAGTGTAAGTTGTTTTTTTTGTTTGTTTGTTTGTTTTGGAGAGGTTTTCGCTATAGGGCACGTGCACTCGCCAGACAGACAGAGAGACATAGAGACAGAAAGTGAGAAAT